GTTCCTGAGGTTTGTCTACAGAAGCTGCCTCGTCACATCAGCTGCAGAAGCGTCCGTACCTCGGAGTTGAAGCGTATTTGGCAAACGTTGCAGGAGATGATCGGCCTCTTTGTCTTGACGATAGGTGGGCCGAAGGTGTGCGTCATCACAGCCTTCTGGACGGGGTCCATCTGAGGAGAGACAAGCCAGAGGTCACATCAAAGATTCAGCTGCACAAGGGGAATTTCAGACGGCGCTGCGCATCCTTCCTGCAGAGCACAGAAAGGTTGAGCGGATGAGGAGGCGAGGCTTTGAGGAAAAGTTGAGGTGAACAACAGCAGGAGCCACTGAAGGGGGCAGATGTAAGATAAGAAGGTGAATTAAAGAGGGAGCGATGATTTGATGCAGACAGGATGATGTGTGGTTTTTCAGCAGTCCTGCTGTTTTCATTTGATTGTAGATACAGTTCAAACACTTTAGTTTTTGCCAGGGTCAGAGGTACTTGATTACATTTATTCAAGACTACATTTTCTTGTTTTTATTCAGCAGACCAATTTATCATTTAAAAATACTATTTCTTTGCAAAATACCAAATAAATTGTAATTAGGATTAAATTGTGTTAATTAATAAAAGTTTTGTTTTATTAAATTTGAGCTAGCTTATAAGAAAAACTAAATAGATGGGTTATAGGAAAACCAAAAATCAAAGACCTGTACATAACTTTAATAAATACACCATCAAATTGTCATAGTCAAGGGTGTCAAACTCGTTTTCACTGAGGGCCACAGGAGCATTATGATGGCCCTCAAAGGGTCAGTTGTAATAAACTTCAATGTTTCATGTTCAACTTCAACTAAACATGAAACATCATGTTCCTAGTCTCATTGCTACAGCAGAGCACCACTTACCAAACAACAACTGAGTTCTATGTAGCATTTGTGGAAATTCCCACTTCCCAGCTCAACTGGGCTGTAGTWAAAATAGCCCGTAAAATGCAGTGAAAAGGGGATTTTACACAATGAAATTCMCTTGTTACTTTTGAACCTTGTGGACTTCCACCTAGTGGTGGAATGCAGTCATTTCCTGGGTAAAATTATCAGCATGCATTATGGGAGATGTAGTTTGTGATCAATGCTTTACACTATCAACCTTTTAACATTTTATAACCAGTATTTTTTTAACMTGTCCAACATATGCTTATTTTAAGATGGTAATACATATTCAAAACTCTCTTGGGCCACATAAAATGCCATGGCGGGTCGTATTTGGCCACCCGGCTTTGAGTTTGACACGTGTCTTAGAGGTTTACAGGAGTTTGATATTGCAGGTGAAAAATAGAGATGGACGGATGAWCTGTGATAGACTTGCGACCTGTCCAGGGTGTACCACGCCCCTCTCACAGTGACCCACAGGGACCTAATTTCCCTCTGGGAACAACAAAGTATTTTTGAATTTAAACTGAACTGAAGTGGGTATATGATGGATGGATGGATGGATGGATTTGGTAAGCTCCTGATCCACAAAATTGTCTTGACAAACATTTGTGACTCCATTTATTGCTGGTTTAAATACACTAAATCTGCTAATAACCCAATTAACACAAGTGTAATGTTAATATAAATAGTCTTAATACCTACAATATCATTTTTATTCACTTATTACAGTTTATGTCCTTTGTAACACCTTCCCCAGGGTTCAGTCTTTAGTTTCCCATGAATGGTGACACAAACACAACACCAGCCTTATCATGTCCAAGCCGAGCTCAGACCCATAACCTCTTTCTCATAAAAGCRTTTTTTTAGCAGCTGCTTTGAACTTGTGTGCGTTTCTTACTCCATCATTAGGGTTTAAAAAAAAACAGTGCTGGGTGTTGCCTTCATTAAACAGCCAAAAATATATTGTGGGTTTACTCAGCCTCTCATCTCAGACCCAGACTGAATTCAAGTTGCTAAATGAGGCCTTTAACTTTCTAAAGGTTGTGTAATTAGTCTGAAAACTTTAACCTATTTAAAACCATAGTTTTGAATAGGCTTCTTTCTCAAATCTCTCTAATCATCTCTCTCTAAAAAGTACCACCATAAATGTGTCAAATCACTCTGATAGTCAAGATGAAGGAAAAAAGAGCTTTATTCAAGTTGTGCCATAAAAGTCCTGGCAGTAATTATTACTTTAAGGAAAAACTTAATTAGCTTGAACAATTACTAACCTCGTTATTTAATATTTCTCCTCTGTCGTTTTGTTTTTCTCATGTGAAATCTGTAACACCACTGTGCAAACACATGATGAGAGTGAACACACACCTGCATGAGGGTAAATACGCAGGCAGGTGAAACATAAACGCTCTTCTGTCTTTTAATCATGACTTCAATCCAGCATTTTGACATCTCCACTGTAGCTTCTGTATCTGCTGCTTTTCTTTGGCCACCTGTTCTCGTCAGGATCTCCATCTGTGCGCCTGTCCCCACTGTTATGACCTCATTAACTTATTACTCTACTTTCTGGCTCCTCTTTCACTCCCTGCCCCCTCGCACACTGGCGCTTTTGTTGCACCTTTACTGTGGTTCATAAAGCGTCCACATTCTTTCCTCATATCTGTACATTCTGATCTTTTCACTCTTGTAGAAAACTGCACAGTATGTGGGAAATACTCTGACTCCTGACAGCCAAAAGGAGAAAAAAAACCCACTAACCCATTTTCTCAGGGTTTTTTCAATTCTATAACACAATCAAGTAACTATGTTACCTTCAGTTTATTTA